TGGTCATGGAATCCTGAATTTTATTTCCAATGAAATGCTGCACAGCTATACCATTTTTTAATAAAATTTAAATAATATATTTATTTTGCACATCAATACTCATGCAATACTCATGAAATGGTCAATTAAAAATCTGCGTAAATAAAAAATCTTTTATTGCGTACTTTACAGATTTTTGATTGGCCATTTCATTCAGAAAATCATAAATTTTCAAAAATATGGTAAAAACGTTCTCCTATCTACAAAAACAAACTTTTTGATAAAATATAATTTTTTCCCTTATATCTGTCAATAAATCTATCATAAAAAATATCTTAAATGTCAGGCGCAAATGGAGTATGGGTTACGATTAAAATTTTTAAATATTCTTTTGATTCTTTTTACTTACAATTAGGTGTCTCCTGAAGCAGCTAACTGTAAATCTGAATTTTTCCTATGTCTGGAATGCACAGAAAAGCGAAGAATTTAATTTTGAACATTTAAAACGATTGAAAGATGCATTTGAACAGCCCTATGATACTCCTATACATTTTGATATTAATTAAGTTGGCAGAAATTTGACTAGGCGCTGGCTGCAAAAAGGTTGATTTTTGTCGGGAATTAAAAACAAAAGATAATATTTAAATAAAAATTACAATTTTCTGTCAATAAAAAACATTTTTAAAATTTAGGTTAAGTAACTTAAATCATTTATTGTTGACTAACAATTATAATTTTTATTTAAATATAACTTTAAATTGATCGAAATGTAGAAAATTTAATTATTTACCCTTCTAGGAAAAGGAATTTAAAATATAATTTGACCTTTTTTTTAAAACACGAAATTATGAATTTGAACTAACTTTTCTTCCAATTGTATTTTAGATTTTTCTTTAACATAGATTCATTTTGAGTTGCAACAAAAATAATTCCAATTTTTTTGTATGGTTGCGTGTGAAAATAAAATTTTAAGTATCTTTTTATTTGTAAAAAAATTAGTATCTTACATCCTTAAGACATCCTTAGGACATAAGATGTCTTTTGGATGTCTTTCGAATGGACATAGACGTTCTAAACATGTCCTAAGAACGTTCCAGTGCCCACAGGGAAGAATCAAAAGAGTATGCAAAAATTTTAATCGTAAGCCATATTCAATTTGCCATTAAAAATTTGGTCAAAACCGACAATAAATTCGTTTCATTATATTCAATTCTGAGAAATTAAAAATTTTTTGGCCGTTATATTGGATTTTAATTTTTAATAGCTGACTTGAAATTCGTAATCAGCGACCCTGAAAACGCCCGAGCAACGATTTTTTTTAGAAAATCCGAATTGTTTTTTTAAAATCCGCAATTTTAGGTCTGCTATTTTGGAACGGACATTTTAAATTTCTTTTATGTATTCAATTTTTATATAATTATGGTCACTGAATTCAATTCAAGAGTAAAAATATGCGAAAAGACTGTTTTAGATATAAAAAGTAAGAAAATTCCCATGCAAATATCGATTTCTCAGACTTCACCACCTTACTAGGCGTGTAAAAAAAATACCAGCACCAAACTTTAGGTCCGACTACGTTTTTCTTCTTAGATTCAAATTAAGCAATTTTTTTAAAAAATCTTCATTACTAAATTCTCTATCGATTCCTCCAGGCCAATTTTTAAATTTTTGTTTATTTATATTTATTTGTTTATAACAAAGTATGAAAAATCGATATGTTGCTATAAAATAAAGTTTTTAACATTCAAAAATTTTTTAAGTACATTAGAAATCATGTTTTAGTATTCCTAAAGTAACATTTTTTATATAATTACACTTTTATTAAATGAACAATACGCTAATTAATTAAATTTTGGAAAAAAGAACATGATTGAAAAAATTCAATTTGTAGTATATTTCTTCGAGTTTTTTACCCGAAATTTAATGGGTAATTAACATATAAACATTCAGTATTAATTTAATAAATTTTTAAAATGTTTAAACAATTTTTTTATTGTTAATTGTAACTTTTTTTCAACATTAACCAAGAAATTTTTTTTTTTTACATTTCTCAACATTTTACGCAGGAAATAATTAAATACAAAAATAAAAGGTATTGTGTAAGTATTTAACAATTGTTTAAACAAATTAATTATGTTTTTTTTAAATTTTATTTTAAAAAAATTAAAATTTCGATTTTTTTTTATTCCTAAAAATTTTTCTATTTAAATCAACTAAACTCAAAAGTGTGGCTTGCAAATGATAATTTTTATAATTATTTAAACAAATTATTAATATTTGTAACTTTTAATAGAATCAAGATACTAATTTACATTTTATCTTGATTTCTAAAACATTTATATTAAGAAATTGTAAGAATATGTAACTATGAAAATAACTTTTTTATATCTAATTTAAAAATTGTTTAAACAAATTATTTTTGTTATTTTAAAAAATTTGAGTGGCTTAAAAAAATTTTTATGTTTTTCAGTTTTTATATTTTTTTTCAGTTAAAGCTCGTAACAAAAAAGAATTTAAAATTGCATGTTACATTTATTAAATAGAAAAAATTTTAAATTCATTTTTTATTTCGAGCTTTAACTGAGAAAAAAATATAAAAACTGAAAAACATGAAAATTTTTTTTAAGCCACTCAAATTTTTTAAAATAACAAAAATAATTTGTTTAAACAATTTTTAAATTAGATATAAGGAAGTTATTTTCATAGTTACATATTCTTTTAATTTCTTAATATAAATATTTAGAAATCACGATAAAATGTAAATTAGTATCTTGATTACTATTAAAATTCAAAAATATTAATAATTTGTTTAAATAATTATAAAAATTATCATTTGTAAGCCACACTTTTGAGTTTAGTTCATTTAAATAGAAAAATTTTCAGGAATAAAAAAAATCAAAATTTTAATTTTTTAAAAATAAATTTAAAAAAAAACATAATTAATTTGTTTAAACAATTGCACAGGTTTACAAATTAAAAACTTTTTTTTGCCAATCGAACAAAACATTTTTTTTTCGAATAGTAGGTGTTTTTTGAGTAAGAAAATCATAGTTTTAATTTTTTTCCCTCGTGCAGTTTTTCTGTAGCTTCAAATTTTGCATTTTCAAGGTTCGACGCCACTTAAACTTACCTGTAAGAAAATTAGCTTGTCAAAATATAATAAATGAGGTATCATTGGAAAGGTTATTAAATTACCTTTCGATCCATAGGTCACAGAATAAAATTCAACAAAAATTGAGAGAGTTACAGTCGATTAAAGATGAAATTTCATGCCAATTTTGATGATTTTTAGACCTTTGAGTAACTTCTACTATTTTTTTCTACATCAAACAGGAAAGAATGTTTAGGTTTTAATTTTTTTATTGATAGACTATATCATTACACAAATTTTGAGTCCTCGTGGACCTCGATTGGATTAAAAATGACAATTCTGCACTAAATTTAGTGAACGAAACTACATTCTTCATTTTTAGTATCCCTTAAACATTTGCACCAAAAATTCAAGTAATAAAATTTGGTAAAGCGCTAAAGTTACTGAAATCACTAATCAAGAGTTTCTGAAGTCGTAGATTTCGAATCCAATGTTAGTTTTCTAAATTTCAAAATGGCGGATCCAATATGGCGGACAAGTTTTTAAAAATCGATTAAATTCGTCTTAAATTCGTTACTCGGGGGTTTTCGGGATCGCTGATTACAAATCTGATGTCAGATTTCGAAAATTAAAAATGATGGACTCATAGTGGTGAACGAGTTTTTTAAAATCCATCGAATTCGCACCTATTGGATCCGCCATTTTTAATTCTTGAAATCTGACATCGGGTTCGTAATCAGCGACCCCGAAAACCCCCGAGTAACGAATTTGAGACGAATTTCATCGATTTTTGAAAACTTGCCCGCCATATTGGATCCGCCATTTTGAAATTTGCAAAACTAATATTGCATTCGAAATCTACAACTTCAGAAACTCTTGATTAGTGATTTCAGTAACTTTAGCGCTTAACCAAATTTTATTACTTGAATTTTTGGTGCAAATGTTTAAGGGTTACTAAAAATGAAGAATGTAGTTTCGTTCACTAAATTTAGTGCAGAATTGTCATTTTTAATCCAATCGAGGTCCACGAGGACTCAAAATTTGTGTAATGATATAGTCTATCAATAAAAAAATTAAAACCTAAACATTCTTTCCTGTTTGATGTAGAAAAAAATAGTAGAAGTTACTCAAAGGTCTAAAAATCATCAAAATTGGCATGAAATTTCATCTTTAATCGACTGTAACTCTCTCAATTTTTGTTGAATTTTATTCGGTGACCTATGGATCGAAAGGTAATTTAATAACCTTTCCAATGATACCTCATTTATTATATTTTGACAAGCTAATTTTCCTACAGGTAAGTTTAAGTGGCGTCGAACCTTGAAAATGCAAAATTTGAAGCTACAGAAAAACTGCACGAGGGAAAAAAATTAAAACTATGATTTTCTTACTTAAAAAACACCTACTATTCGAAAAAAAAATGTTTTGTTCAATTGGCAATTTCACTGTAAACCAGTGTTGTTAAATACTTACACAATACCTTTTATTTTTGTATTTAATTATATCCTTCGTAAAATGATGAGAAATGTACAAAAATTTTTTCTTGGTTAATGTTGAAAAAAATTTACAATTATCAATAAAAAATTGTTTAAACATTTTAAAAATTTATTAAATTAATACTGAATGTTTAAATGTTAATTATCCATTAAATTTCGGGTAAAATTCTCAAAGAAATATACTACAAATTAAATTTTTTCAATCATGTTCTTTTTTCCAAAATTTAATTAAGTAGCGTATTGTTTATTTAATAAAAGTGTAATTATATAAAAAATTTTACTTCAGGAATACTAAAACATGATTTCTAATGTACTTAAAAAATTTTTAAATGTTAAAAACTTTATTTTATAGCAACATATTGATTTTTCATACTTTGTTATAAACAAATAAATATAAATAAACAAAAATTATTAAATCGGTCTGGAGGAATCGATAGAGAATTTAGTAACGAAGATTTAAAAAAAAATTGCTTAGTTTGAATGAAAATTGTGACCTCTAGATTGATTTTGACACAAAAAGCACATTTGGCCCCACTGTGCGGCACTCTTCGCACTCGAAATTTTATTTTTTTTTGTGCTTGTGAGATTGATTTTGAAAAAAAGAATGTCTTACATCAGCCTGGAGCATATTGTAATGTTCCTCCTTGGCACAAAGGGATTCCTTAAGGACGGCTATGTGTCTCTGGTAGTCCTGATGTTGTTCCTCCAAGGTCCTCATTTTGGCAGACATTCCTAAAAGTTCCTGGTCCCGACGCTGCACTTCTGTTCTTAGTTCATCCAGCTGCGAAAAAGAGCCGCCGTCCAGGAAAAATCAATCTCTTGTTCCGGCCAGCCGAGGGACAGTAAAAGAGCTCGTGGTCTTCTTTTCACCTAGCCCGAGTATGTCGACAATTCAACGAATCATGATTTTCTCCCCTTCCCCACCAAAAACAACACCACGATCTTTAGCTCCAATCAAAAAACATGTTTCATTCTTTGGAAAGATATTATTTCTGACACTTCTCTTTAAATACATTTTTTTAAATTTAATTCAAACTTTTAATTAGGAACTATTATTGAAAATAAATTTACTCAAATAATAAAGATTAAATTAGATTCAGATTGCGGTGAAATTATGTTGTTTTGAATTTAAAAATTTTAAAACTTTCTTTGGAATGAATGAAACGTTGGTTGAATTTCAAATTTTTTCATGAAATAACTTTTTTAGGGACTTTTGTTTTTTTATAAAATTCCAAATTCTTTTAAAACAAATATCAAATTAATATATGTGGATTTTACTGAATAGTATAATTGAATACGAATTTTCTGTTAGTTCCGATTACACGGAAGAATTGGATCGACTGAAATATTTTTGGTTTCCATCTCAATTAATTTTAACGCTGTTTCTATTAATTTTAAATGTCACAAACATTGTAATTAAATACAAAAATTAGAACTACACAAAACTTGAAATTAATTTAAAAAAAGGAAAATTTTTCAGAATTTGAAAAGAATTAAAAAGTCAGAATTAAAAATCCGATTAAATAATTTGAAAGAGAAATAAATAATTTAAGTTCGTCATACTCGGGCAGGGCTCGCAGCATGCATCGACCATCGAAACAACAGTGTTTCTGTATTGCAGGTAGATAGATAGGGTAGTTTTTTTGGTAATTTAGGTATACGTGTTTTTTGCTTGTAAAAGACAATTTTTGTGTCATGTTCAAGTGTCAGGATTTCGAACAAGGGAGAGTGTTGTCTCTCTGTGACCTACATTTTTTTGTTCGATCTACTCTTGTTCTGGGAGCGTGTGGGTTCGATGCAAATTCTCAAGATCAAAAAAAGTGAAATCAAAAAGTATCATACTCTACTTATTGTGTCTTTTTTCTCTTATCCTATTCTCTTTTTTTCTGTACAAATTCATGCCTCTAAGAAGAAAAAATATTATTTGAGATGTTGCATCGCAAAAAAGCCAGGTTCGTGTAAAAACTAGATCTAAACTAACATCTAGAGTCCAGAAAGCACGTTATAATTTTAACTTATCTTCTCGTGAGATCAATAAATAAAAAATATTAATTAATTCACGAGAAGATGTAATTGAACGTGCTTCCAAATCGATCGACGCTACCAGATCACGAACTTTCTCGAATGTCGTTCTCAATTGTTGTCGATTGTCCACCACATATGGAAAAAATGAGGATCTTACTTTCAGTCCTCACTCAAAATCTGTCCTTTAAAATAAATTTGTCAAGAATTTAAAAGAAAAAATTATTTTACAATTCAATCGATTTTGAATCAAGAAACTTTATAGGCTGTAAAAATATATTATTCCATTCAAAAAGAAATTGACAAAGTAAAAAAAGACATTCGATCGAATAGACATTTGATCGAACGGACATTTGCTCGAAAAGATATTTGATCGAAAAGTCAATTGATCGAATAGACATTTGATCGAAAAGTCATTTGATCGAATGGACATTTGCTCAAAAAGACATTTGCTGGAATGGACATTTGCTCGAAAAGACATTTGATCGAATAGACATTTGATCGAAAAGTCATTTGATCGAATGGACATTTGATCGAAAAGTCATTTGATCGAATGGACATTTGCTCGAAAAGACATTCGATTGAAAAGACATTTGATCGAAAAGTCATTTGATCAAATAGACATTTGCTCGAAAAGACATTCGATCGAAAAGACATTCGATCGAATCTTTTTTGGCATAAGAGTTTCCCTTCTTTATTCTACATATATTCGCAGCTTGAAATACTATGGAAGGTAACTGTTTCCAGAGTTTCAGCTTTACTTAATAGATGGTGCTACTAGTACTCTAATGTTGACCATCCACTGATCTCTATATACCTCTGGATTGGAAATGCTACGAGCAGAACTTTTACCACGGCGGCCATCTTTTATTGTAGTAAAAGTACAAAATTGTGGCGCGAAAGCCTTGTATTTGAAGTAATAATAATAATAATGATAATAATAATTATCAATTTTAACATTTTATATTCTATACATGAGTTGTTTATTCATACATCTACTTAAAATAAAAAAGAAATTTACTTTATAATAAGAAACAAGGCTTTCGCGCCATAATTTTGTACTTTTACTACAATGAAAGATGGCCGCCTTGGTAAAAGTTCTGCTCATAGCATTTCCAATCCAGAGGTATATAGAGATCAGTGTGACCATCACATTAGAGTCTATTCGATCAAATGACTTTTCGATCAAATGTCTTTTCGATTAAATGACTTTTCGATCAAATGTCTATTCGATCGAATGTCTTTTCGATCAAATGTCTATTCGATCAAATGACTCTTCGATCAAATGTCTATTCGATCAAATGCCCTTTCGAGCAAATGTCCATTCGATCAAATGTCTTTTCGAGCAAATGTCCATTCGAGCAAATGTCTTTTCGAGCAAATGTCCATTCGATCAAATGACTTTTCGATCAAATGTCTATTCGATCAAATGTCTTTCGAGCAAATGTCCATTCGAGCAAATGTTTATTCGAGCAAATGTCCATTCGATCAAATGTCTATTCGATCGAATGTCGTTTCGATCAAATGTCTATTCCATCAAATGACTTTTCGATCAAATGTCTTTTCGATTAAATGACTTTTCGATCAAATGTCTATTCGATCAAATGACTTTTCCATCAAATGTCTATTCGATCAAATATCTTTTCGAGCAAATGTCCATTCGATCAAATGTCTATACGATCAAATGTATTTTCTAGTAAATGTCCATTCGATCAAATGCCCTTTCGAGCAAATGTCCATTCGATCAAATGTCTATACGATCAAATGTATTTTCGAGCAAATGTCCATTCGATCAAATGTCCATTCGATCAAATGACTTTTAGATCAAATGTCTATTCGATCAAATGCCCTTTCGAGCAAATGTCCATTCGATCAAATGCCTATACGATCAAATGTATTTTCGAGCAAATGTCCATTCGATCAAATGTCTTTTCGAGCAAATGTCCATTCGATCAAATGACTTTTAGATCAAATGTCTATTCGATCAAATGCCCTTTCGAGCAAATGTCCATTCGATCAAATGTCCATTCGATCAAATGTCCATTCGATCAAATGACTTTTAGATCAAATGTCTATTCGATCAAATGCCCTTTCGAGCAAATGTCCATTCGATCAAATGCCTATACGATCAAATGTATTTTCGAGCAAATGTCCATTCGATCAAATGTCTTTTCGAGCAAATGTCCATTCGATCAAATGACTTTTAGATCAAATGTCTATTCGATCAAATGCCCTTTCGAGCAAATGTCCATTCGATCAAATGTCCATTCGATCAAATGTCTATTCGATCGAATGTCGTTTCGATCAAATGTCTATTCGAGCAAATGTCTTTTCGATCAAATGTCCATTCGATCGAATGTCTATTCGATCAAATGCCGTTTGATCAAATGTCCATTCGAGCAAATGTCTTTTGGGAAGAATTACTGCGCCTCGATTTTTTACCCCCTCTACTTCGGATCGTCTGTAAGCAGCGAGTTCTCCTGACATCTACTCGACAGTTGCATAATTATAATAACGTTAAATTTAAATTTTCTCCTCTTAAAAAATAGTATAGAAAAATTATTCAATTTGAATTTCGCGCCATTGTAAGTTTTTAAAATTTCGACATATGGCAATAAAAATCGTTACTTACGAAAGAAATAAAGCAGAGGAAGTATAACTATCAAATGCTCGTTTACCTTCTTCAGTTTGATTCCCAATTTATTTTTAATTAATAATTTTTAATAAGGTGAATTCTTATAACTATTATTCAAAGTTTCTAAAAAATTAAATATTAATTATTTACGTCTAGTTAATTACTGAATAATATTGCTAATAAACAAATAATCATTTTAATTAAAAGTAAATAATCTCAATAATATAGTAATGGTTGTTAAATAAATAATAAGTACATAATAATTACTAAAGTCATCCGCAAGTAAGCGAAATAACCCCGTCTTACGGTGCTTTTTATGTAAATAATAATTGTTCGCAATATTAACAAAACTAATAATATTGTAATATACCAATTCGGGTGTCATCGTGGGATGACTAATAATTGTATAAGGAAAAGAGGGGAAAGCTTTTACCCGGGCAGATTCGTTCTGACTCTGAACGTGAGCAGACCAGCGAGTCAATGCTGGTTCTGTCATTTATTTTATCAAATCCATGGTATGGTTTTCATTTTTATCTGTTGTCAAATTAAACACTTTTCTTAATTAAATCCAATTGGTAAAGAATCCTAAGTGGTGGCTGTGCAATTTGTGCAACTTTGTGCACTTGTGTGAAAGTCCCGGGGACGCCCAGAAACCAATTGCTCCAGATCTCGATACCGATCCTGTGGGAAGTTCGATTACACCTTGGAGGACAAGGAAGAGACTACATGGCTATTTCATTGGAATAAGAATATTGCATCTTCGTAAATCCCCAGCGTAAGGTGGGAATATCTATTGTTTCACGAGACCGTAAGTTCATTGTAAATCAAATGAATGATTGAATGAGTGTTGCTAGGCTTTCGGTAAATTGTTGTCAAATCAATTAGGAAATTTTAATAAATAAAGAAGGAGATTTTAATTGATTGTTAATTCTTGTTGTCTGATTTATTTATTTGTAAAAATGTTTAAAACTCCACCTCAATCTACGAGGGTATCACCTCAAATGTCGCCCAACGATAAAAAAATTAAAGAAAAAATTGATGTAACAAATGATCCGAAGAAAGAGGAGAGTATTAAAAAGTTAGAAAATTCTAACAACCGAACCTTAAATAATAACAACCGTAGA